AGGAGTTGTCTTCGGCGCAAATCGAGGATATTGCCATCACCGAGGAGACGATCGCGATAGACAAGTTAAAAAATGGGGAAGGCGACCGGCCCCGATGGGATTCCTGCGAGAATCATTAAGGAAACCGCGTGAGAAATATCGGATCCGCTGATCCGTATTTGAAAGCAGCTTTTCGCGCGGAGAGGTACCTCAGGACTGGAAATCAGCAAGCGTCATACCGATCTTTATGAAGGGCGAAAAGAGTAATCCAGGGAATTACGGGCCGGTAAGTCTCACGAGTATCCCAGGGAAGATCACGGAGAGCATCGTAAGAGACCTATGCTATCCGTAACAATTTTGATTCCGCGATGGTTCGACGTTGAAACGAGCCAGGTCTCAAAAGGCTGTTAATTCGTGCTCATGCGTGGCCACTGAGACTCGTATCTCCATCGTTTCGACTTCGCAGTCCATAAACCAATGCAGTAAACAGTCCGAAAACGAAAGAAGCCATGAAGGCAATGAGAACCTAAAAACCTATCATTTCCGTGATAACCTGACAGCAGACCCGAACTGCGACCGAGTTGTAGCAAAGATTTATCGATTATGGAATTCTGAAGGAAACGCGATCGTAGAGATCGAGGAGTCTTCCATCGAGACATTTCCTTCCCAAAATAGCACAGGTGCCATAGCAATGAATGAGAAGCACGAAAATGGATCATTTCCACATATTGATGGGTTGAGTCCGTCGGGGCGGTCGGAACTTCGAAGAAACATTTGCCCTACGAAAAGAAAAAATCCGAAGTGTCGCGGAGGCCAGATTCGGGTCTCGATGGATGTTGCGGAGGAAAAGAAACCCTTCTGGTCTATTGCAGTAGAGGCCTTTTTCCAGGAAATCCACCGCAGAATAAAAGCGTTGGTTCAATTTCGAACGATGAGAATCTGCATGAAAATGGCAAGTATCATATTTGCTCGTTTCGTAAAGAGACAACTCCGAATCGGCATACCTTTCTGGCATGAAATTCCAAGTCACCAGAGGAACTTTCGACGAAAAGAAACGAAGACGAGAAAAGATCGTAAGAATAGCCAATCTCGACGGTTGGGATCGGGAAGGCAAAGCGCCGTTCGGGTGGACATAGCTATTGAGCCGATAAGCGGTAGCCCTGGCCTTTCTTCTATCTTGGATATGCCATGCGTACGTTAGTATACTTACTATAATGCAAGATCATTTCGGTTATGCAGTGTAAAGAGCCAGAAACAAATAACTATCGCAGGAATATTGTTATTAAAAATAATTTTTGCATTAAAAAACAATAGAAAACAAAAGATAAACACAGGCATGCTATTTTTAATACGCCATCTCCATATCTACATATTAAGGACACGTTACAGCCGCCATGTTCGAAAGGGCATCAATAAGTGGTACTTTTAGTCATACATGGAGGTTATCACCTCAGATCTTCCCAGTATTTAGTTTTACGTTGGGCTTATTCCCAGGCTAACATATCTGACTGATAAGAGAGATAAGGGATGCTTGAACTTGGGCACAAACACCACTTCCTGACTCCATGTAGTGACTTAAAGTGCTTCCACAGTCGCTGCTACAGGGGAGTTCAATATTTCAAGGACTTCAAAGAGAGTTCAGGGACATGATGTCGTCCCAGGAGGAGAGAGAGCGGATGTTCCCGGAATGGAAGACAGAAACTCGCCTGCTTCCACCAATATTGAACCTGGACGACTGGGTGGACGACGCTTCGACCGAGATTGAGAAGACGAGACGATCCCTCGTGCGGTTCATCCATCGGTTTGGCAGGCGAATGGAGCAGCCGATGCATGTGACTCATGGCGTTGGATTCGAGCTGAAACGAAGACATCTCAAAGGTGGCAAGAGGAGATTCTTGAGAGGGGAGCACGATATCTTAATCGTTCATCGAGATGCGGGAATCGTGACGATCCGGGTGATCCAGGCCACGGAGGAGAACCTGAAGAGCACCGTGGAAAAGGCCAGACAGAAACTGAACATCGCGAGCGAGCACCTAAAGGAGATCTTGGAGGAAAAACGGATGAAGCTGGAAACCCTTGACCCAACGATGAAAAGTGGCCTCGACGAGAAGGAGCTTCAGCTTGTGTCCTTCCCTGTTCACCACCGAATCATGGCTCTGTGTGGTGTGACCAGAGAAGCCTTCATCGCCTCGGGAGCATCCCCCCATGCCAAAGTTCTCTTCCAACAGGACTGGAGGACTCCAAACCCGTTTCGTTGTTGGTGGCATGTGAACATCTTCCCTTTACTCAGTCTTCCTAGTGTGGCTACTGCTCCTGTTCCGGGTTCATTTCGGCTCTCCTCGGACACCTATCTCCACTTGCTTACCATGTAAGAGATTTCTTTCTCTCGTTGATTATGTCACTCGCGGGAAATACCTTCTTCGCGTCTCGTTCTATACAGCAGACATTCAGCCTCTCAGTAAGTTCTTTACGTCGAGAGGGAGCAAGTAACAATCCTATTATATTTATTAAATGGAATGTGCTCTAATGTACCCGTATGCGTCGGTGTTGACGCGTGCGTAGAACATTTTTAGCTTTCGACATTATTGCTTTCCCATTCAAGACGTCTTCGTATCATCTTCTTTCCCAGAATGCTGTAAAAATTTGTACAACATACCGTTCAAGGCAGCTGAACAGAATTCCATTGTTACTTCACCGTTTCCTTGACTTTCTCCTAAGAGCGTAGATTTTCCTACGACACAATTGGAATTTTATTTTTGTAACAAAAAGTTATATCTCCAGCGTACATGCTAGTAACTCCCCAGATTTATATTTTTTTAACGGGAACCGAATGCCTGAAGAACAAATATACAATACTTGGACCATTGGTGGGATATACTATTAGTACTGCAATGTCCTGATTCCATATGCATTGGAGCATGGATGGTATTTTGCTTTTTCAGTCAAGTTCCCTATTTTGAAGAACGGCATGAATTCAGTTAAAACGGTCTTAATAAGGAATAAGGAATAAGGAATCGAAAAGAAAAAGCGTACTTTTCAACTGCTTCCTCGCGAAGAAAGGGCTCTTTTTTTTTCTGAATGACACAACGGTGACTCGATTCTTGTCGGTGCTTGTTATTACGAGAGAAAAGTAGTTGGAGATATTTCACTCTTTGCGCTAAATTCTCGACAAAACTCACAAGATTCTGGGAAGAGAGGTTCGTGCGAATGACGATACATCATGAAACGTGACCACCGAGACTAATATCATCTCCATCGTTTCGAATCGGCAGTCAATCAAGAAATTCAGTAAACAATGCGAAAATAACAGTAGCTTCGGCTTCTTTAGAATCATACAGGCGCATAGCGATTTTACTCGACGATTCTTGGAAAGGGCTGAACCCTGTCACATAGGCAGGTATTGTAAATAAAAAAATGACGCGAACTGCAACTGTTAAGCCGCAATAAAATAGTTGAGAATGGATGAACTTCTGAAGGAGACGTGGCCGTGGAGACCGAGGAGACGTTCGGCGCGACTTTTTTTCTACAAAATATCACAAGTGCCATACCGATGAATGAGATGCATGAAAATGAAAATGATCATTTTGACAGATTTATGGGTTCAGTCCGGAAAACACTGCCCATCGACCCGAAGTATTCCAGAGGGATGAACCGGATGAAGATCACCCCAGACCAGCAAAAAGCCCTCGATGGGATTTGCCCAGGAAGCGTCAGAGCGATCGTCGGCGCGGCCGGAACGGGGAAGACGCTCGTCCTGCAAGAGAAAATCCGGAGCGTCGTGGAGGGCTGGTTCGCGTCCGGGGACTCGATGGACGCGACGAACGAAAAGATCCTTCTGGTCTGTTGCAGTCGAGGCCTCTGTCTGCATCTTCGAAGGTCTCTCCCCGAGGTGTTGCACCAGGCGATTCTGGACGTGTTCCATCGACGTGGAAAGGATCCATCACGGATGGTAGAAGCGCGGAAGATGCTGGAGGAAAATGTCGTCATCTCCACGTTTGACAGCCTGGTCGGCGGGGAAAGCAAGGAACAGCATGAAAATGCGGCTTCTCCGGTCGCTGATGAACGGTCGATGACCACCGAGGACCGACCCTCGCCGGGTGAGTTCCTCGGGGCTTATCGAGAACTCCTTAAGATATTTGAAGGATTTGGAAATGCACTGAACGAGAAAGAAAAAGGAGACGATAGAAAGGTGACAGACGGAGAAGCAGAACCTGCTGCGTCCTGCGACATTTCTGTTTTGCATTCGTCGGATTCCAATCGACCTCCAACGACCGAGTCGGTCTCTGCGTCCAGCGTCGTCAAAGCTTTGTCCTTCATCCTCGAGCCGATACAGGTGAGGGGAGACGGCGAAGGCCTGCTCTTGGGAGGAAAAACAGGGTCCAGGAACAGAGAGGGGCAAGTAAAGAAAAATCCAGAGAAGTTCGCCGATCCGGAGCTCAAGGATTTGGTGGACATGGCGAAGGGTGCCGTCGACACTGGTTATTTCACCCCCGAGCGATTTCGATCTCTGGTGAAATGTGCCGGGACGATCACGAACGCCATCCCGAAGAGCCACCCGTTGAAGCAGTCGTGGGGACCCGGGATCGACTTCGTGGAGGAGATCGTGAAACGGGAACACAGACCGAGGGAGGCACGGAAGGAGGACGTGGAAAGACTATTGGGAACGGTCGGAAGCGTCGCACCGGCTTTTCGTCACGTTTTCGTCGACGAGGCGGAGGATCTCTTCCTTCGATACGGAGACGCCTGGTTGGAGGTCCTAAGCGCGTATCGCGACGAACCGGGAAATGGATGTTTCTGTTTCACCTTCGATCCCATGTATCATGACCTGCGGATACCGAAGGAGAGTCCCTTCTACGCCATCCTACGCGGAGGAGCGAAACTGAAGGCGGTCGTGAGGAATCCCAAGTCGATTTACGGCCACTGGAAGGCGCTCCTGAAATCGATCTGGGAGAACGATCCAGGACATTTCCCGGTGGACCCAGAGTTGTACGATGCGATGGAAATTCAGGTGGGACACGAGTTCCTCGGTCCCGACGTGCAATGGCTCTCCGTCGATCAACCCGATGGAGATTCCGTCGCGAAGAAGATCCGCGACATTTTCCGCGACGTCTTCGCCGGCCACAGAGACGTCACCGTCGCCGTTCTCTACCAGAACGAGAAACTCTTCGCCGAGTACGGCGGAGAGAAGCTTCTGTCCGAATTGGGCGGCCGAAGAGCAGCGGATTCGAAGACGGGAGAAGATGACGTCATCGTCGACACCGCCGCGGCTTTCAAGGGACTGGAAGCGCACGTCGTCTTCTTGATCACGTCCAGTCGCGTGAGCTCCTGGTACATGGAACCATCCATATACCTCGGGAGGACGAGGAGCAAGTGCTATCTGTTCCTCGTCGAGCTCTTCTCGAAGAACGTGGCAGGAGCTTTCCCCGTCGCGTCCGATCCGTCGGTTCTGGGAGAATCCCTCTCGTCCTTGCAGTCCATGCTCCGGGAGGGACTCTCGAAGGAGGAGGAGGACCGGTTCGCGAGGGAGTTCATTGACGAGAACATCGGAGACGAGGATTTCTGGAGGAACGTGCAAGTGCCGGATCTGGATTGAACGTTTCACATCCGGCTTGGATGGTTCATGATTTCCAACTCCTTCATTGAATTATTGTGAAATATATGCTTTATTCTTTTGGAAAATCGACGATAAGACGCGATCAAACATGGGGAATAAAATTTTTTTTCAATGATGTCATTTACAGCTGAAGTTCAACATCATCCCATACACAGAGAAGTTTTGCACATGTTGGTTATCTCTTCAAATTAAAGATATTAAAAATAGGTAGGTTCGCATGTATAATTCAGGAACTAATTAGGGAAAGTATATATTTCAAATAAATTGTACTTGAACTGCTTGCAAAGTTGATGTCGTTGTGCATTTAAATTGATCTGATTATGTTTCGCCTGGCTGTAAATAATGTGATCCAGGCCGCGCGCGAGAACCTGAAGAACCGCATGTAAAATGACCAGATAGGATCTGAATATAGTGACTGAGCACCTGAAGTACTGTAGAAACACATTTGCATACTCCCGACTTACTAGTGTAGATATGGGACCCCCAATTTGCTGCGAGATTCTGAGAGTATACTCACAATGACGGTTTTTTTACTCTCTCCCTAGGTCCTAGAAACTTAACTCGGAGGGACATATTCACTCTATTGCGACTCGAGATCCCGAAAGACATTTTATCCCCGAAACGGGTGATACGAAGGTATCGACCGGCACATTTTCTGCAAAGATCTTCATAATCAACCCCCCCCCCCCCCTCCCATGGATCTGCAGAGGCATTACGTGCAGCCATTGGCGAATTGAGGTGGAAAATGAAGCAGAGGCGGCAAAAGCGGGCCGAAAACCGAGCGTATTCCTGAATTAAAAATGAGCCATGGCTGGATGCAGAATTCGAATTGCAACACCAATACCTACCCTGACCAGACAACTCTTGAAGAGAGTAAACCCCGGCAAATAGCACACACTGGTCACAAGTGATGGCCATCACTGCAGCATTTTATAATTTTTTACGTGACTTTTTCAATGATACTGAACACCATCAGGCAGAAACTAAGAATTTATAATGTACGATTATTACTCCGAAGATTCGGAGAAATGAAAGGAGAAATGCCTCAAAACGTCAAATACTCCATAATCGCATTAGTATGAGGCAACATTTGCTGATGTCGAATCCACGCCCCCTAGATCGACCAAAGAGGGTCAGGCAATTTTGGCCAGGTTTTCTGTCACTATGTACCACTGTGATATGAAGCGAAAAGATCATTAAAAAATGAAAATAATTTATGCAATGAGAAATTTGTTAATGTGCTTGACAGTTTTAATTTTAACAGGAATTTTATTCCGCTGGTTAAATGAAGCAAACTCCTTGCTATTTAGCATTCCATTTACAATGAAACTCCATGATGATTCGACTTTTCGATGATGATATTGTTATGAGCGAAATTGGATTTTCTGCTACTGTAGTTTCTAATCGTAAATTTAAACGTATAAAAACGATTGCAATATTGCTAGATATATGCTGAAGACTGAATCCATAGGTGTAACACAACTTCCAATGGCTTTACGTGGAAAGCCCGCCAATGCAACAGATTGTAAAGTCTAGTCACTCCGTTAACTGAACTGAAAAAATGAATAATTTGGATTAAACTGTCAATTGCTGAGCCTTATGTTGATCACATTGATGATGATGACTGGTATTAAATATCCAGCCAGAAAAATAGTCGATCCATTCCCTGAATGCATGAGAAAACGACTCACATGACTGTGAATGGTAGGATTTGAGGTGTAGGGATGACTGCCATTCTTGCTGAATAGTTTTTCCTGCCGTTTTTGGGTGATAAGACGATGAACCTCTTTTCGAATGGGGTAAGAAGAATAGGGATGACCGGGAGGTATCCGCTCACTGCGGTGATTCCACTCTTCTCTGCTTCCGAGCTTTCTCACAGATGACATGAAGAAAGTTGCGCTGCTGAAAGTTCTCTGCGCTAGAGCACGTGTGTTTCTTCTGCGAGGTTGGATTTTCCAAGACAAAGTTTCACTCCTGTCGTTGAGAGAACAGCAGGAGAATGGCCGAATATAGTGTATTAGGCCAAGACCCAGATATGTGCATGAGACGCGACAAGATCTCCCTCTTTCTCTTTTTCTCTCTCTCCCTCCCTCCCTCCCTCTCTCCCTCCCTCCATGTTACTCTCACTCCGTCGCCCTTTTCGTAAGCTTGTAAGCAAGATGAGGGAAAAAAGTGCTATGAAGAAAAGTGGAATGAAGCAAAGCGTGCCCATTATTTCTTATTTTCTGCCCCGAATAGGAAGTTGCTTGTCATTAGCTTTAGTCTTTGCTAGAAAGCGCAAATAAATGTTCAACTTGCCTTGGCGACATGAGAAGGGAATTATGCAAGAATCTTTTAGGGTAGTAGGGGATGAAAAATTCGACCGTCTGGGATTCGAAATCTGAAAAGTAATTGTCATAGGATATGCCTAGGAAGTGCCAAGAGGGGTCACATTGTCACCTTCGACCCATTGTATACCGAAAAGTGACGGCCCAAGTTGCAGGTAGATGGTCTGCAGTACCTTTCGTGTTTTACCTTCGAATAAGATTCACCTTCATCGCGAAATCAGCGACGGTGTTTTCTTCCCGGCAAATCTAAAATTGTTGTCAAATACCCCATTTTGCCCCACTCATGGAGCAAAATGAGATGTCCTTGTGGGGCAAAACGGGGTACTCCACTAGATATTGTTTTACAAAGTGTTTATTTATAATATATACGTGTTTAAATAAGTCATAGAAACATCAATGAAAAATATGCACACAGCAAAATTAATGATTTGGCATTTGCTTTACCGTTGTCTCATTTTATGCCTATTTACGAAGGTCACAGAACAGAGACCACAACGAAACATCCACAAATTACAAACATATGCTTTCTCTCCTTCCCCCAGGTCTTCATTCTTAATTACAAAGGTCAAAGAACAGAATACTGGATACTTCTGGTGTAATCAGTTCCAAATCGGTGCCTAAATTATCCAGAGGGGTTTCTTCGTGGACCAGCCCCTCCTCGTGATCAAGTCGGTGGTCTTCGTCAGTTGAAGTCAATCGTATTTCGAGCCTTGGCTCAGATCCAGTGGATCGGTATTGCTCGCTCCTGATGATTGGGCCCACAATGATATTTGAATTTGCAATTGGAATTTCTTCTTGGATTTGTGGTTCCATAGTTTCCTGGAGGTGAGCTTGTAATTTCGTTGAAGTCATCGAGAGGTAGTGGACCTTGGGCTGAGAAATCTCAGAGTTCACATATGTATGTGAAGCTGTGACATATTTTTCCACGCCTGCATCCCGGCTTCTCAAGGTTCGAACGTATCCATCATCCGGTTTCACTGGCATCATCTGCAGATAGTCCGTCTTAGTACGAAAATACTCGACGTTTCTTTCCTCGTACGGCTTGTTCATATCCAGGTAGTGCTATAGGAGAATATGACGTATAGATTATTCAAATCTGGTTTCGAATCAGCGGTCGGAAGGAATAAAACGCTCACCTGACGCTCAGACTCCGACAGCATCTCCCCAAACCATGCGCTCAACGTGGGGAAAGTCGCCCGTTTGTTGGGATCCGCATCCCAACACCGTCTCATGATCTGGTAGCTTTATAATGAGAACGAACATGAGATTTTAAAAATGGGAATAAGCTGGAGTAATCGAGCGATGAACAGCTACGCCGTGGGTAAAAACAAGAGAGGTACACATTGTCTCACATATGATCGTTAGCGAATTGAGGAGCATCCAAGCGATAGCCATCCTTGAGACGCTGGACGAGATCATGGCCGCTTATCCCAGGATAGGGGGACATCCCAAGGCTGAACATTTCCCAAAGTGTTATACCATACGCCCAAACATCTGATTGGCTCGTGGAAACCATGTTCTCTGTGAGGGACTCCAATGCCATCCATTTTATCGGCAATGGACCCTAGAATATTCAGATTCAATGTATCAGTTAGAAGCAGACAAATCATAGATAATTACGAAATAAAATAATGGCACTAGTGGAACTCACATTCCCTTCCATGACGTACTGATTGTCCCTGTAGATGTCTCTGGCAAGGCCAAAGTCACAAATTTTCACGATGTTTTTTTCTGCTAGTAGAATGTTCCTTGCAGCAAGGTCTCTATGAACCACCTGTAATAGTATGTGAAATCATAATTATTATTAACTATCTGAATTCCATACATTCGGTAACGATTTTGCATTTCCGATGATGGCTGCACTGAACGTAGCATAGTTTTCAATGGATATTGCTTAGAACTTTGAACAGATTCATTCCAAATGTGATGGTCACGATGGGAATTACTAAAAATAATCTAATTATTTAGCTCTTGAGGTGGATAGGGCTCAGCGGATACAGACGTAGAGGTGGCTACAGAATAAGAATTTCCTCGTCTCTCCCTCTTTGCCCTAAAAACTTTAAAATATTTTTAAATTTCACTATCGCCAAAAAAAAACTGGAAGAATCTGAAACTCGGTGAGTGGCGTTACGACCGTGATTCCTCTTCGTTCAATCAAGTGATCGCTTCAAGCCTTTGAAAGATGTCTGACTACGAGAGCGACCTGGCGAGTTTCTATTTTCCTTAATAGAAGGTGAAGCATCGAAGAGTGACGGTGAAAAGGCCCACCTTTCGGCAGCCCAAGTATTCCATGCCTTGAGCTATCTGGTACGCCCAAGAGACGAGATTGCCAGTCGTGAATTGTCTCGAGAGTACACTTTCCTCTGAGGACTTCCGAAGGGAGTTCTCAGCCGGACTTTTTCTCCAATCATTCACCCTCCCTAAGAAGAACAAGGATAGAGCAACAAGGGCAAGAGCAACATTAGGAACGATAGGAATCTAAATAACATGCAAATAAATGCTGTGGTATTTGTTTTGTCCATTCCACTGATCCAGAATCTTCACTGATATCCAGCCTTAGGTCTATGATTCATGGTGAATCATAATAAGAATCACACTGGCAGAATATCCTGCCTAATTAACTGAACGACGTACGATGGGATGACCAAAAAATTATGCGACCAAGGCACTTCCAGTTGCAATACACCATTCTTACTTTTATTATGGGAAGACAGGTGTCTTTGATGTTGACTGGCGAAATGTTATCTATCTTGTCGATTAAGGATAGCTTCTATGACTTTTTTTCAATATGCTACTAATGGTTTTGGTGAAGGGGTATTAAAATACCGTATTAAAATATAAAAAATACCTCTGTGAGGAATTTTCTAACCTCTAAGGAGACGACCTACCAGCAGATATTTCAGGGACTGAGAGTTTAGAGTCCTATTGATCCTCTAAAAGATCTGCTGGTAGGTCGGTTCCTTAGAAGTTAAAAAATTCCTCACAGTATTTATCTCAATTTTAATACCCCTTCACCAGACCCATTAATAGTTTATTGAAAGAAAAATAAAAGCCATCCTTAATCGACAAATAAGATGAAACTTCGCCAGTCACCATCAAGGACATCTGTCTTCCATTAATAAAAGTAAGAATGGGGTATTGCAACTGGAAGTGTATTGGTCACAGAACTTTTTTACCTCCCCTCCTAGTGCCAATGAATAATGCTTAGTGAGAGAATTTGGTCCTACGGTTTGGAGAAGCAGGAATCCGGGTGTCAGAGACAGCTAAATCCACCTGTAATCCATTGTTAGTCCCACCAGAGCCAGTCACCAGGGGTGCAGCCACAACGTACTTCAGAACCGGTTCATTGCTTCTGCGACAAGCCCGTTGCTGGTTGGAAGCGTCATGGTACGATAGGAAATAAATATATTAAAATAAATTACTCACCCTTGAGTTCCCTCACTCTGAGCTTCAATTGTAGTATCATTGGAATGTGAATATTCGCTGTGAAGCAGCTGTTTCCCGATGTTGTCCTCGATTTTATTTATTAGAGGGTCTATCTGATCGCTGAAGTAGTCTTTATTGGTCCTCAGATACTTATCCAGACTTCCAAAGGGACAGTATTCCACGATCATCATCAGATTCCCTGAAATTAGGATCCTTTTGCTTCATAGCAATATCACAAGGTAAAAAACGGAATAGGTCGCAAAATGTTTCCTAATTACTTGTGGTGAGAACGGGAAAGAGATTCCCGTCATTTCTGTAGCAATCCATGTTTATTTAAAATATATTCGAAGCACAGTAAAGAAATTAGTTTCAGAGCAGATCCCTGTGGCATGTAATTAAAGTTCATGCAATTTCTTGTGTTACTGTGAAAGATTGATCCGTTCCTTGAGCCAGATACAGCCGAGACCGCCTGGGAATGATTTCATGTAGGCTAAGATCGTTGTTGGCTTAAAACAGGCTGAGATGGTATTACCCGATCCCAACAAGACCAGTTCGGTTATGAATCATTCAGAAAATATGCATTCAGGAATGACACCAGTACATTCATCATATACATAAAACCTGAAAAGAGACTACATCTTGATTCTAGGAACATACAGAAAGATATCCTAGGAATTGTACAAATGATTACATAGAGAGAGGTATTGGAGCAGAAGAGTATAAAGCATTGGTTTCATACTGCTGGCTCTTAATGTGGAAAGGGTCTACTGAACTTGCATGCTACCGACCAACCCAACCCAATATGATGGAAATTCTCACCATGTGCCAGGTCTTTGGTACAGGCTCCTAGGAAATTCACGACATTCAAATGCATTCCGAGGTGACTCATGATCTTTACCTCCATCATCAACGCCTGGTAATTCTCCAGGCTGGAATGAGACTTCCTTTTCTTCACGGCAACGGTTGTTTCCGGCTCCGGAGGACGGATTCCAATAGCCACGGCTTTTAGTACGTAACCGAATTGGCCGCTGCCGAGCATTTTTCCTGTCGGGATGACACATTCCATGATAATCTGCCTGCGCAGCTCCTCCTCCAACCTTGGTCCTTACCGAGTTTCAGCTTCTCTGGTGGGAAGTCCCATTGCTCGTCAAAGGGGAGAAGATGTGCTTGTTCGCTGAGCCCCATTGCTGAATTCAAACTCCCGGGCTGTCCTTTCAGGAAACGTTCTGTCTCCTCGTTGGACAACGCGATGTTTCGGGCCTGGAAAGTTCACGTTAATAAGCGCATTCCAACTGAAGTTAGAGACAATTCTTGAATGGGTGACTCACTTCTTCCTTTCTGAAGCGGTAGTAGGAAATGCAACACACAAATAAAGCCACAAACGAAATCGCTGCGGCAGATATGGCTGCAATGCCAGATTCCCCGAGATGACCTTCATCAAGATAAAAGTAAATAGGGTAGAGGCACCAGTTTGTGGACGGCTGCCTATTTGCTGAATATTTTGCTTTTTTCACAAAATCCACGCCGAAAATGTATTTCCCAAAATGCTCCATATTTTGCAATTGCCTGTCAGCCACCGTATAAGTTATACATACCCATCAACATGAGTGAACTTGTACATTTTCGCTCAGTTTTAGACCTAGCACCCCTGAATTCCTTAATTTTCCAATGATATTTCTGAATAGGATATCATTAAAGACGAATCAAACTGCTGCATATATCCCATGCCCATATTTTTCTAATCGGCCTAGGCATGCTCATAAGTGTTGACTAAAACTGGTGTCCACAAACTAGGGCTGTGGATGTTCACAAACTGGAACCAGGCAGTCCACAAATTGGAACCGCGTGAAAATCAACATATTCATTTAAACAGCCATTGTTGGGAAAGTGTATTTTTAATTAATCACTCACTCAGTCACTCATAATCATTTACATATACAGTATATAGATGCCATTCCAAGCCATTGCCCAGACCATTCACGACCTAAAGCGCCGGGCTTACAAGGGTCTTTCATTCAGGCCATAGGCTTAAAAGTTGAAATGCGCCGAAAGCGATTGTGAATGGATGTCTCTCCTCCATGGCCTATCAGGCAAGGCCTTCAAGGATGCGCGATTCTAGGCTAAGCATGAAAACGATGGTAACCTTTTAATCTTCTTTCAGAAAAATCACCCTGCAGATGGTAGCTGCTACAGGGTGCGTGAATAGTCCTGCACATATTTGATGAATAACTAGCAAATTATAATTAAAGAGAGCACAGGGAGTGTAAAGACAGACCAGAGTGGAGACGATTATCGAGAGCAGGTGTACTTTCCCCTCGAGTTTCTCATTTCGTTGAACCCATATGGTTTACTGTCTCATAATCTCGATCTTAAAGTCGGTGGAATTGTCATGCTTCTTCGCAATTTGTCTTTTGAAAACGGCATTTCCAATGGCAATCATTTGATTGTTCGAGATATGAAAGATAACATCATTAATGTCGAGATCATCACCAATGAGCATTTACTGCCACGAGTGCCACTCGACACAGCGATCGTTCCGAGTATTCCCTTCATTGCGTGCCAAAGACCATTCGGGTTTCGTTTGACTTACGGTATGACCATCGACGAGGCTCCGGGACAAACGTTTGTCATGGCTGGTCTTTGTTGCCGGAGCCGGTTTTCTCTCACGGTTAGCTAAAATGTTGCGTGGTCTCAAGTCCAGAATGCCGATTGCCGCAAAATCCAAGTGGTCGATGGGCAACGGCATAGCCTGATCGATAATGGCGTCTTAACCGCAATTTCATGTACAAGGAAGAGTTATAGTTTTCAAAATCCAATTTCCTTCATGAATCCGTTTAACCACCAAATTGTATGCTCTTGATTTCAATTTTCAGATTTATATATGGTGTGATTTCTTCTATTAATCATGCAAATATTTCAGATTTTTAAAATAAACTTTCTCATAGATTTCCAAAATAAATTATTTTTCCTAATTTGCTGATTTTCAAATTAGTAACGGTCTTTCCATTCGTGATTCATTTCTTTATTCATGATTTATTGGGTTGGAAAGAAAGTCCTCCAACACTCTGCGCAAATTTCTCAATATATTATAACTTTATTGAAATGCAATTTCAGTCTACAATGTAATAACCATTGTTGTCTATGACATGTTCCCAGCGCATGGGTATCTGCTCGATGCCCTTTGCCCAGAACTCTGACGATTGCGAAGCGAAGAAACGGCCGACAACATTTTCGAGCTGTGCTCGATCGCCGAAGGCCTTCTCCCGCAGGTGATTCTCGAGGGCCCGGAACAAGTGATAGTCGGAAGGGGCCAAATCCGGAGAATACGCTGGATGGGGTAAAACTTCCCAGCCCAGTTCCGAAATCGTCAGGCGAGTCATCTTCGCAACATGTAGACGAGCGTTGTCATGCAGAAGGAGAACTTTGTCGCGTTTGGGAGGCTCTTTTTGAATGACGCCAGCCAACTTCTGAAGTCGAACAGCGTAGACGACGGCAGTCACGGTGGTACCGGTTGGCAGGAGCTCATAGTAAAACATTCCTTCTGAATCCCACCAACAGCAGAGGAGAACTTTCTTCTCGTGAAACCCTGGTTTCGGTTCGTGTGGCGGCGATTCTCCTCGTGGAAGCCANAAACAACCGTTGCCGTGAAGAAAAGGAAGTCTCATTCCAGCCTGGAGAATTACCAGGCGTTGATGATGGAGGTAAAGATCATGAGTCACCTCGGAATGCATTTGAAATTTTTATAAATAGTTCTAGAAAGTGTTGCAAGACTTTCTTTCCAACCCAATATATAGACGATCGTGACTGTCTGACTGACGCTAATACTAACCATGTTCCGGAAAGGTTAGAAATCTGAAACTTGGTACACATATACCTTTTGGGATGCAGAGTTAAGAAAAAATCCGACTTTGAAGGTACAAGCCCTGGGGGTACACATTTTGGGGGAAAAGTTTTTTTAAATATTTATTGTGACGGATGAGAATGGCATTGAGAGGGTCAACTGGATGTCTTCGGTTCGGTGGTGTAGTGGCAGCACATCTAACTAGCAAGGAGAGGTCCTGGTTCAATTCCTGGCCATTCCTTGTCTATCATCTGGCTTATTTCGCCTTCCATGTCCCGTTACTCATTCCCCCTCCATATCTATATCATTGCTTGAGTAAAATGGAGAGACATGGAAAGCTGAAACCTGGCCTGAACGTGCCTATCGAGACGATGAGTTCAGGAAATATGGAAAATTTTATATCCATGCCCGGGGGGGGGGGGAATTTTTGGGGGCCGACGTTTCCAATTTTTTTTTTTTTTTCCTGGCGTATTGAGCTAGTGTGAAAAGATGAAACTTGGTACATAACTACCTATTGGGATGCTGCAGAAAAATTCAGACCTAGGAAGTAAATGCCCTGGGGGGCGCAAATGTCAAAGGGAGATGTTTTCAAATAATTTTGCATCAGTTAAACTGATGAACATGGGAAGCTGAAACTTTGCATGAATGTGACTTCAGAGAGGAGTTAAATAAAAATCTCGATACATCCCCTGGGGGAATTTTTTCGAGGGGCGATGTCTTGAAAAAAGAAGTGTCGTGGCGAATTGGACAGAGAGTGCGCTAGAAAGTTTAAACTTGGCAAAGAAGTACCTAATGGAGAGCTGAGTAAAGAAAAAAGTATACCTTTATTATATATAGGCGATCGTGAGTAGCCGACTGACTGATGTAAGCAGCTATTCTCATGCTGAGCTCAGGAAACGACTTTGGTGATACATGCCATAGGGGCACACTTTTTTGGGGAACATGTTTTCAAATTTTTCTCTTTGCTTCAATCAAACGGAGACACATGGAAAGCTGAAACATTTTCAAAATGTTGGATTTTTGGGGAGGAGGGGATATTTATTGGGGACGTTAAGTCTTCAAAGAAGTTTTCATATCCTAGTGAATCGGGCAGAAATAGAAAATAGCAGCTGGCGCAAGCATAACGGAGACACATGGAAAGCTGAAACTTGGCAAGAACGTGACTGCCCGTGACGCACTGAACTCAAATGTCAAATTTCCAAAATATTTTTGGGATTCATATTTCTTGAGGACGTAACGTTTCCAAATAATGTTTCATATCCTCCCGAATCGGGCAGAAATGGAAAAGTAGCTGGCGCACGCATGACGGACGTGATGTTGATTTAAGAAAAAATTCAACAATTGTGCATCTCCTCAGAGCACAAAACACTAAATTACTTGTATTTTACGATGTACACTTTTTTGCCGACGTCCACTGTTTCATCGCCATTCGTTTCCACATTATGATTCATTTGTCCTTTTTGCCATGGAATATCCATATGACACCAATTCAGTTTTGTACTTCAGCTCCCAACGTCACACTGAAAGTCATTGTATATTATTCTATATTAAATTCTTTTTTTACATTTTGCATATCATACATTCATTCATTGAAACTTTGATTCATTGAAACTTTCATTCATTCCCTCATTCACTCGTCAATTCAATCATCCCTTCATGCATCTTGCAATTCCAGGTGTTACCTGCGTCTCACGTTATTTCAATAATAGTCATGTATACAGTATTTGTTTGAAAGAATCCACTTCTCATTTCAATGCTTCTTGTGAAGAAGGGATGAAGCATATTGGCCTCTTGCCACATCATTAATTCGGATTAAAAAAAATTCCATGCAACTACTGATTTCTCACAAACATCTATATGCAGTAGATTCGTATATGCTGTCGTGACTGAGTGAGTGAATGACAGACGCTAATTCTAACCATGTTCTATAGCAGTTATGCATCTGAAACTTCATACACGTACCTTTTGGGATGCAAAGCTCATGAAATATAAGACTTTTGAGGTACATGCCCACGGGGCACTCATTTTGGGGAGATATGTATTCTATGATTCTAAGTAGCTAGAGATGTGAGTGGTGGTAACATTATCGTAACGTTACCGGTTTACCGGCAATTACCACAGTGTTGCTTACCAGTAATATTACCGGTAAATTACCAGTGAATCACTTGGTCATATTTTCAGTACTTTTTTCGCTATAAAAATGTATATCTTGCTGTATTTATTTTTTGCCGGAGTTATCCATGGCCAGAGTCAATGACGATGACACAATCACAACGGTATCAAAGCCATTGCAGCATTTCTGCATGTCTTTCATGTTATGCTGAGAAATGTATTACCCACATAACCGAAAAGCTTGTCCGAACAATTGCCCCCCACGCTGGCAAGCTCGACTGATCATCGGTATTGGCAGACATGTTTGGCCCATTCATGGCTCTAGCTTGGCTAGTCATTTTTCGGCATTTCATAGGCGGAGGACATATGCCCTTTCTTGCCTCTTGGCTGGTTTTCCATTATTGGCGTAACATTAGCAAACGACACAGGCCCAATTAAGGCTCCAGATTGGCTTCCAATTAAATTCGACATATATCGGCTGCACGCAAAATTGCTTCGCCAATATTGCCAATTTTGGCGAAGTGTTGTCTCCCTAATAGTGCCCTGCCTTCCTTGATTCCATATCAAACGGATGACACGATCAAATGCATCTTAATTGCACTTGAAATTATTCGAAAATTGAAGTTTCCATCGACCACTAGATGGC